CCAGCCCTGCTGCTGACTTGCTGCGTGCGCTCCGGGGCTCTCGCTGCTGGCCCTAACGCCACAGCGCTTGCCTGTCTTTCCCACGTTACAGGTTTAGACAGCAGCGCTGTGCTGGAGCAGCAGGACGGTGGGGAGGAGCTCCAGCTCAGGTGGAACAAGTACTAAGGGCAGCGCACAGAACAGACTGCGGTGGTGCAGCCCCGCACCAGGGCAGGGCCCGACTTCGGGCTCCTGGCTCGTCAGACACACTGGTGCAGGAGTACAGATCTTGCCTGGTAACCTCCATTCCTGGTAGAAAGATGCAGAAACAAATACCAGAACAGTTATCCTGCGCATGAACGTTTGATTTGCATCCCACATCTTCCCAGCAGCAGCCTCAGTCGCTCTGTGGGCAGCGTATGGAAGCCGGGAGGGGTCAAAGGCAGACCCAGCTCTCGCTGCCAGTGACCTGGCAGTGCCGCACTTCTTGCCCCACCAGCGAGTGCCAGCTGTTGCGGTCCCAGGAAAAGGAGAAATCCCAAGGCTGTAAAGGATGCTGGGCACTCTGGGATAGTGTCGCACTGCTGGCAAGGAACTCTAAAAGGTCCTTAAGGGTGCCCAGGTAAGTTGCAATATAAATGTAAAATAATGCATGTAAAGGACATGTAATCCAAACAAAGCTACAGGACAGTGACCTCAAAGCTGCCAGTTACAAGAAGCCAGTGCTGGCAGTCCAGTTTACCAATTACCAGTCTGACTGCATGGACACACCTTGACAGAAAAGCAAAGTGAGGATGAGGAGAAATCCAAGTTCTGATTGCACATTTTCTCCTCTTTTGCAGATCCATTTTTGCTTTCTAATAAAAATCAAACCAAGTATTCTTGTATTTCATGCAGCTGCAGTGCCTTTCTGAGAGCTATTATTAACGATCACAGTTTGCAAGGGATGGAAGCTGCGCAGGAATCTGCGATGGAGCCCAGAGGAAACAGCTGCTCCCTCTAGCCCCTCGAGTCCTACCAGCTGCTGAGACCAGTGAGCTGCTTTGCTTCCCCCAGTATCTGACCAGTATTGCCCACATATACAAAGTACTCATATTAGTAAGGACTTAAACATTGAACTCGGATGGGAAGGACCTGGAAACACTGCTAGCCTAAAGAACATGTGAAGCAGCAAACGTAATTAAATCAGCCCTGAACAAGAACTTACAATCAAAAGGCTTTACTGCCAGAGAGCTTGGAAGTGAGCTTTCTGGATAGCTGCTAGAAACACCCGGGATCGTCATCAGTTTTAAATCACTAGAGACACAATCAAACTCACCAAATTTTGTAAGAACACAATAAAAAGACACTATGCAAAATCACAACTGATGCAAAATAAAAATAAAACCAAGATACATTTATAATTTTTCAATCTCTAAAACTATTTTTTTTTCCTCTTAATTATCAAAAAACTGAATTGTAGTTCCTTGACGACAGATCAGGAACTACACCAATCCTATGTAACATAGTCAAGGTTTAAAGAAACATTCAACATTACCCCATTCCTGTTGGCTAGGTTTCCGTGGCTGCCTAGGGAATTACTCCTTATGACTCCACTGCAGCTTTGCACTGGCTTTTGCTTACTTCAGGGATCCTTCCCACACAGGGGTTTGCTCAGCACCACCTCTGCTCCACGAGCCGATTATGGAACTGCACAGCAGTCTTCATTTGAGTCGACAGCATCTTGCATCCCAGTCACCTTTTAAGCTCCTTATCTGATCCGCCTCTTCCATGAGCACCTCTTAAGTCCTCAGACCTTCCTCTAGTAGCTCCCCTGATATAGAGGCTTTTAACCTTTACAAAGCAGCTCAGCCCTGCCAGTTTTAAGGACAGAAAACTGATTGCCAACAAGTGATGTTTTTTCTAGTAGTATCTTTTCCCAACCTTCCTCGTCCCTTCCCATCACTTCAGGCATTTGAAGGGAATTTTTTTATAAAAAGTCTTCATATGCTCATGAATTCCTAAGTAGTCTGAATTACAGAAGCCTCCTGAGCTCCCTTCCCCCTAAACTCCCCACCACCACCTCCCTAAAACAGTAACAACCAAAAAGAATCCCACAAAAGCCCAAGGGGTGTGATTACTATTTAGTACCATATTCAACTTTTGGACTGCAGCGACTTTTTCCTGCAGCTTGCCATTAGTAAGTTGTCATGTACGAAGGAAGAAATGGCTAGCATTTTGTTGCAGTCAAGCTTGTTAATTTTTCTCCTCTTCCTCTAGCTTATGTATCTAACACATCCAACAATACCCCAAACCACAGGGAATTTATGGTTTACTACTGCAGGTATTTAAAAGAAACTTTTAAGTTCTACATTCAGAAAAAGAACCCCTCAAAAATGGAGCAGGGCAAATGGGAGAGCTGAGGCACGTCACTGCGCAAGGTTTTCTTCTACCGTGGCTACAAAAAGACTGGGAAAATGGGTGAATTCAAAGAGAGGTGGGTAAGAAAGAAAACCATCCTAGCAATGCTAATTTCTTAGAGCATCTTTCACATTCATGCTCATGCAGCCTCTACCCGCCCCCCCCGCTTCCAAGGGGCACCCCTCAGGTCACACAGCAATGCCACAGCAATCCCCAACAAACCCCAAGACACTAAATCCAGATGTTTAGGAGCTCTGGAAATAGCCTCGCTTCTTCCAACTGTATCAGCAGGCAAGGCAGGTATTAGCTCTGCTTACAAACCCGTCCTCGCTTCGGGCAGCCCCAAGTCACGGCTGCTCCCCCTGGAGCTGCTGCCTTGGCAACCAATTATTCAGCACCACATCTGCTCTCATTTGTTCTCTCTAGGATGTTTCAACTGGGTAGCTGAGGCGGTCTATCCAAATTATAAAAATTCAAGCCTTTAAGCTAATTAACGGGGATTTAGTTGAGAAAGAAAAAAGCTAGTTCCATGTTTTGGACTACATGTTTACTGCACTTGAAAATTCACTTTTCCTGTGCTTTAGCCCTGTGCTAAAGGACAGACTCTATTAAGTATGAAAGCTATAAGGACTAAATGAAAGGAAAGAAACGGACATTACAGGTCAAGAACTACTGTCTTGCCCACCAACTTATGTTGCCATAATTTATTGGTTGCCGATTTACACCAGTTTATACATGTAGCATGCAAAATGGAGAAAACCAGTCATTTATCACAAAAATATGGATAGCGCACAGCTCAACAATTCTATGAATGGCAAATCCAAAGCAGGTAGCAAATGATGGACCTACCAAGTTTTTTTCTCTCTAGTAAAAGGAATTGATTTATGAATAAAAAGCATAGATGACTCAACATTTAAATATTTAATTAAACCTATTAGATAACTTGATTACAGCCAGAGTATCTGCTCAGATGCACAAGAGAACACGGAGCCAGCCAAGAAACGTGGAACTGCTCTACTATGAAAACATACTTCAGCATGACGTGGGAAAGCACTGCTTGAACTACAACTCTTCTAGAGGGGACAGCAATTCAGTCAGCATACAATGCTGAAATCCAACTGTATTTCGAAGTTACCAGTTCCTTTGGGTCTTCAATCAGTCATTTCTGGTTTGAAACAGATGGCAGAATCTACATTTGGAAGGCACCACAAATGTCCCAGTGTCCAGGAACTAACAGACAGTGCTCTAAGAACACGTCGTCTCCTACTGTAATAGAGCGTAGGTTGGGTGTGCATGGTCCCACTACAGCGCTTCGTCCACAGGGATCAGGAAACAGTAGCAAAGTGTACCTCATCATCAGCCTCATCATTTCTAACCAATAAATAATCTGGGAGGAAAAAAAAAACACCACCCACGCCTCTCACAGAGGAATTGTGCTCAATACCACATACCTTGCTACTGAATCAACTCAAACAGAACTTCCATTAAAAACAGTAGGAGCTAAAAAAGTGCAGTGCTTAATATAGTTATTCCCATTTTTATACTTAGTTGAGCTATTTAGATGATTTATCTTCATACCATTCTCAGAGGTCTGTATGTGGGAATTTCAGGAGCTTGAAATCCTGATTTCTCCAACAAGAAACCACAAAACAGATTGAAATTAGGCAAATAAAAAAAAAAAAAAAAAAATCAAATGCCCAGCATAGTTGCTTTTAAGTCACAGAAATTAAAAGCAGAACCATACCTTGTTTTTTAAATGACACCTTATCAGGATCTTTGTTTTATGATGACTTGACAGCATAAATGCACCTAACAGTTTTTTCTACAGCTTCTTCCAGTTAATAGTAACATTTTCCTTTAAAAAAGAGTTTTGTTTATTTTCCTTTTCACACCCTAAATTGTATGAGCAAAAGGTTGCAGTAAGTCTTGTTCTCAGACAGGCTCTAGTACAGGAAAGTGTATCGTTCTTTTCCAAGCATCTGTTGCTCAGTTTTCTAGGAGTTTATGAGACGGCTAAGGTTTGCAGCGCTGGAGAAAGCGTGGATAGAGACAGACATCTCTGATATGGTGCCTATTCAGAATCCAGGTTAGGAACCGTTCTAATCCCAAACCATATCCACCATGAGGGCATGTACCATATTTTCTCTGTGAAATTAAAATCAGAGAGTACATATTAAACATTTTATTGTTATTTTTACTATAACTGAAACAAACCCTTCCAAGATTATTTTCTGAATTATGAGGAAAATGACTATACTCTTTTCAGGCAAGATATTTGTGCTCAGTTGTCCTGAGTTTCCTGGGGCAGTGTAGGGACAGGAACAGGAAAAAGGAGGGTGAAAAAGAAAGCCTTAACAATTCTTTTTCAACTGCCTCCTTTTCTCCTCCCCTTACACTATCTAGGGCTCAGCCATTCAAGTCTGTGAACATCAACCTCTCTTTACCTAACAACAAACACTGCAGAAGACATTACAAGAGGAATACACCCACACAGACCAGTCTAATGAAGGTGATCTGGTAAGTGCAGCATGCAACTGCAGCAAACAGCAATTTTAACAGAATGGAAACTGTTACCCATAGCATTTTGCCAGCGGTTAAATGATTATCTACACTGGGCCACCAAAAATATGTTCCCAATTTAGACTGCATCATCTTAAGAGCAGTTTTAAGAAAAAAAAAAAAATCAAATATCACATCTGAAGAGCAGCACATCTAAAGTGTTTTACCAACCTGATCAGTATACCAGTAGTACGGTGTGGGATCGATGCCCTCCCTCTTGTAGCCTTCAAGTAGCTCCTCACTGTCCCAGATACGCATAGAGCCTCCAACAATTTCACCAACATTAGGCATCAACACATCAACCTACAACACACAACATGAGATCAAACCACTACAGTTAAGATGCCTGCAAAATAGGTAGGAAAAATAGCCCAAACTTAAAACTCTATTTCCATAACACATTTTACCATGTAATTTTAATTCTCTGTGACAGGAAGTCAATTCCTTCCAGACCCAATTTATAGATGGAATAAACTCACTGACTAGGTTCTCTAACTTAATCTCCAATACCACACTGAACTGTAAAAAAAAAAAACACCCAAAGAACAACCAACCAGCGAACAACCACAAAAACCCCCACCAAACCACCCTCCCAAAACCACACCACAAACCCAGCAGCATTCCTAACAGCCACCACTCTTCTTGGCTGCCAGACAGCTGGCATTTCAACAGCACAGTCTCCAAGAAGTGACAGAAGTATTGTCATTAGACTGGCCCTTACCTGAGGTCAGTGTAGAGCATGCTCACTATGATCTACTGACATTTTATTAGCACTTCAGAATTGCTTCATTTATTTCTATTGGATCAACAAGCCATGTCAAGAGACAACCAAACCAAAATCTGGTAAGAATTCTCCAAGAGTTTCCTGTGGAACTCATTCATTTTACACTCACTCACACTGACATTCCCTACTCTATTTAGAAGCCTGCAACGCTACGTAAAATACCAACTTACGGATTCAGTAAGCCGGGAATCGTCATGACAGCGCTGCATATAGAAAGACTTTATTTCTGCAGGAAATCGGCACAACAAGATTGGCTCATTAATGGTGTCTGTCATCAATCTCTCAGGAGCTTCAGGAATATCCTAAGGTTAAAGAAGTCTTTATTAGTATTTAAAACCAAAACCACTCCAATACCTTGAGTTCCACATGTATCAGGCATGAAACAAAGACGGTTTCAGACCACACGTATCCACACATTTGTCCTCATGTACCTAAATTTTTAAAACTTATCTTAGAACTGTATTTAGTTATAAAAACATATGTCGGGGCGTGGGGGGGTGGGGGTGGGTGGAGTGGGGTGTGTGTAGGGGAATCTGTTCAATTAAAATCCAAGTTTCCCCAATGTTTCATACAGAAAAATGAGGAAAACCTAACCTGAAATGCAGACTTTCCAAACATCCACTGAAAAGCCTTCAGTGTCAGCCACCTTCCTTCCCAACACCACTTTCCACAAGCCTTAAGACTAGAAAGTTTAAGTGTTTCCTTGTTATGTATATAGGCTATTTTTCAAAAACCTGAACTGATCAGTTAGATAGATGAGGTTGTTTTTTATCAACATTTTCTGACTGAAATTTGATAAATTGTGAAACAGCTAGCAGAATTTTCATTTTGATCAATTCAGCAGTTTTATTCTTTAAAAACTGTGGAGAAGGATGACACCACAGTTACAATGACAGATAGGGAACATCAGTGATGACGTGATCATGGCTTGTTAAACACACTTTTAGTCAAAAAAGTCTGTCTATCCTTAAAAGGTTTAATTTGAACTTCTATTCAGCCAATGGTATCATACTTTTCTTACATTCTGAGTTAAAGTCAGAAGATTAGATTTTTTTTCTTTAGCAGGAAAAAGCAGCCACACCTGGTAGTTGTTTTAATCTGACTGAACATGGCATTACAGCACTGACTGCTGTGGAAGGGGGCAGAGGGAGCCAACTATAGCACGCACAGCAAGGAAAGAGCAAGGACCATAGGCCTTCTGCAAGGGAAGCTCACAACGCAAAGGTCGGCCCACAACGGGGGAGAGGAGGCAAGAACCCTTACTTCCCTCCGGAACTGTTTTTTCAGTGCAGATTGAAGGCCCTTCCCTCCCTTCATCTCTACCATCTTTGATACAGATGGGAAAAACAGTAACAGCAAAAAACCCAACATATCTGATCTTGAGCTGACAAGGTTCCCCCTGAATACACTGTGTAGACTTTGAAGTTAAACAATTAAATGATCTCCTCCTAAAAATCTCTCTTCTCTTAAAGCCTTTGATGACTACAGCTACACCATCAAGTCCTCTTGAGCTCCTTCAAATCATTTACTTGCACACGTTGGGGAAGAGTGAGACAGGGAACAGACGGACAGATGACAACATGGATTTTCATTCCAATGTTCAAAGACATTACGTGAAAACGCAACCCACACCTGCATTCCCCACTATGACACTACTACACCTCCCAGCACAGTCTGACAAAAATCCAGGCCTCACTGAAGTCCATAGCAAAACTCTCTTTAACTTAAGTGGGACTAGAATTTCACTCCTCATCAATATCACTGCAAACAAAACACAACAGATTCACACAGCAACAGTAAGCCCAATAACATGGTGGTCCAACCAGGCTGTTCTTCAAGGGTCTTATACACCCTTAGGGCAGGGCTGTGGGATTTTGTTTGAATTCCTGAAGAGCCTTGGAAAGACTTACTTCCCCAAACTCATAGTAAGTGCCATCTTCCTTCTTCACATCATGCTCCTTTAACCACTCAATGGCTTCAGTATAGTTCATTCGTCGGAAAGGACGTTTAGGAGGCCTGAAGCCCTGTAAATACGAGTAGGCAAAGACAGTTGGAAGAGTACCATTTTTAAAGAAGAATACTCTTTAGGTTGATCAGCAAGTCCACATTCAGGCTTGAAGCATACACACTACTCTTTCCAGCTCATACATCAAATTATTTCTTGATAAATAAATCAAGCACAGTCAGTACGGAAAAGCTAGAACGAAACACAACCATCTTCTAAGCCCAGTAAAGCTCACAGAACAGCTGAAAAAGATGGCAGGAGAGAAAAGAGAGGAATTATTTTCAAAGCCATTTTCTTTTCTGTACAAATTCATTGCACATGTAGGTGTTTCAAACCGAGCCATTAGCAGAGGTTCCACATGCAAGGCCACGAAGGAACATTTTTGCTTCCCTGTGCACAGAATGGCTTCAGAACCTGCCTTTGTGAAGTGGTTGTGCTTCTGCCATTTCCTACCTCCTGCCCCCTCTCTCAGCCTAAATTTAAAATGAAACCTCCCAGCGTTTATCAGGAAAACAGGTGAAAAAACCAGGGATGACTGAGTTAGTATGTGCTCTGAGAGAAAAGCTAGTGATAAAGTTTGCAGTCTCTTAAAGCCATCTTCTTTGCAAAGGCAACAGAAGACAAAGGGTCTCTAACAAATGAAAATAGCTTTAGAGCTCCACATTCCAGAGTGGAAAGTAAAACACCAGTTGTTTCATTGCTCCCTTGTGCTCAATCTGCAAGTACAAGCCGATCAATATTACGAGCTCTGGGATAGAGGGTTTTATTCCACTGGTACAGTACACATTGCAATAAATCCCAGCACACTGCTGGCTCCTGGAACTTGCTAGCAGGGAACTTCTTCCCCCACAGTCCCCTGCTCCTCGAAGAGTCATTACCAGCCTTGCAGCATTTTCATTCTTTTGATGTTATTTAGTATTTTTCCTATTACTAATAGTAGTAAGCAAGCAGAGCTCACTGCCATGCCCTTCCTTGCCCAAAATGAAGATGCTGATTGGTAAAGGCTAAAGATCATATTTTCTTGGCAATTCATGACTGTTCCACATTGCTACCTACCGGGTTTAGGTCATACAGTAAGCTTGATGCAGGTGATTTCAAGACTCTGTCTACTACATCACAAACCAAGCTCTCCAGACGGTCCAGTAAATCCTCAAAACTTATAAAAGGACATTCAGCTTCAATGTGAGTGTACCTGAAACAAAGTCATGCCATTAAAAAACCACATACAAGCAAGAGATCTTTAGCTATGAAAAAAATTTGCATGAGAAAAAACCACAACCCAAGAATACAAACTTTTGTCCACTTTTCCATTTCTCCCACTTCTACACTTGTGAACGAAATTAAGCTGTAAAAAAATAAATAAGGAAGACAACAATACGAACTGTATTTTCTAAGAAGTCAAAGCTTCCTAAAAACGTAACAGCTCTGTTTTGCCCAGATCTTCCTTCACTAAATGTCAATGTATTATGACCACCTGGACATTCACTGAGACAAGGTATTACCCCCCCCAAATATACTTTTGCTCAGTCCTTCAGCATTAGCATGATGCTGTCTGCTCACTGTGCATTATGTCATCCAACTGCCTGCTACTCCCCTGCTTTATTAATTCACTTATACATAAATAGCAAAGTATACTATTTCCATACTCTGCCAAGTGTCTGCGGGTCCTGGATTGCTCAGCTCTGTATGACTGAGCAACACAGAAAACATCTCCTAACGCCGGAATGCAGGTCTCCAGATAGAGCTGCGACGATTGTGTTAAGTATGCCTCTTCACCAAAATAATCCAATTTGAATAGGGTTGAGCCCCCTTCCACCTGTGTCTGGACTAAAGTTGGTGGTGTGACCTGTTAAAGAACAAGACCGTCATTACCTGATGAAGAATTAAGGACAACGATGACAACACACAAAAGCAGTGATGTAAGGCATGCTCTTCCAGAACACCACCTACAAAGCTTTTGTATGCACGCATACAAGTACTTCAGTCTGATATCCTTCAGCACCCTAAAAAGTGGTATGCAGGCTGTTTGTCAATCGTGCTGTAACACGCACCTCAGAAGTGTCTACACACCTTTGAGATCAAAGCAATCAAATAATAGTTTCCTAATAAACAGCTTTTCTTTTGCCCCTTTCAGGTCAATTAGAAAGTCTACACAGTTTTTCCAGGAAAAAAAGATAGCCATGAAGTCAGGACATTAAAGTAGTCATTTGTTAACAAGGGAAAATATACTTACTTCATAATATCCATTGGCAAAGAAATGATCCCTGAAGGCCTGTACTACCATGGAGCGCACCTTGAAGATTTTGGACATATTCTCGCCTCGAATCATCATATGCCTGTTGTTAAGTTGCACATCAACCTCCGAATCCTCATTGAGTAGGTTGTCAGCCCCTCCGGCTGGGGCCAGACCAATAAGCTCCCAGTAATCACAGTTCAGCTCGTGGCCTCCTGGAGCCTACCAATTTGAAAAGAAACAAGCATTTCAGAAGTCCACTTTTTGCCTCTTGGATGTCACTATCTGGCATCATGGCAGAGATGTTAATCCAGTTTAAACAAAAGATGCTAAAATCCCAATTGCAGTGTTTTCAAGGTGACTGCTTTGAAACTCAGTCATACAACACTTGGAAGTGCCATTTTTAACCCACCATGAGTCTCAGACTTAACATGAACGGGACTGAGTGCTACAGTCAGATAATTATAAGCTACCAGATGCATTCAGTTTAAGTATAATATCTCAGAGACAGCTGGGTTTATTCAGCTGGAGGAACAGAAAGCTAAGCAGTGGGAAACGACTTACTGACTTCAACTATTTAATGAGTGGTTATGGACAAGATGGAGCCAGACTCTTTTGGCTGTATCCAGCGAAAGGACAAATGTCTCAAGTTGCAGCAAGGGAGATTTCAACTGGCTATTAAGAAAACAAATTCTTCATAAGGTGCTGAAATGCTAGAGCATAGACCAAGCCAGACAGCAATCTCCATCCTTGGAGACGTTCAGAAACACATTTGGACAAGACCCTTGGCAGCCTGACCTCTCATTAGATCTTCAAGAAGAGGGGGGACGAGATGACCTTTAGAGGTCCCTCCCAACCAAAACCATTCTGTGGTAACTTAACACTGTGTACTAGTTTTGGCTGAGATAGAGTTAATCTTCTTCATAGTACTTTGTATGGTGCTACAACACAACACACTGGCACAAAGAACCTTCCTGTATTCCTTAAGAACACCACACACACACAGAGTGAAGAGTCTTCTCATCTATTAGAAGAAAATGCAGACCCAAGACTGCAGTATGACATTCAAGGTATTTTGTTCTTTGTACTATTTGAGCCATATTCTCCTACTGGAGAGCAAACTTGAAAGAAGTTGGAAAAAGTTGCTTGGATCACAACAGAGGAAGAGCTAGTTCACTATGGGTACTTTTGAGAGACACATGAGCAATCCTTCTGCACTAGGTAGCATCTCGCCATAGTGTGACAACAGCAAGTTTCACACTAGCTAATCTCCCCTGTCCTGTTTGCTGCTGTATGGCAAGCAGAGGTCCTGGCGCCAGGGCTCAGCCCTGTCTGGCTGCCTGGGCTACTGAGCAGACCTTCAGTTCTGGTCTCATCGGCTCCCCCGTGTGGGCCACACTAGGCTTCCGTCCCCTAAAATGGTATTTATTTAATTTTTTTTATTCAGAGTATTTTCAGTGTATAAATGTGGATTTTCAAAGTCTAATCAACAGCTTTTTACAAATCTGGGGGTTTTGTTCACTAAAAGCATTGTATCCTTGTGATAAGACATGAAAACTTGAAGTGTTTTCAACGTCCAAAACATTATGAGCAGTAACATAGCATGAATTACTTAAAATTACCAAACTGTGTAAAAGTTGTTTAAACAAGTGATGCCTGTTTGGCTGCATTTATTTTTAGAACTCCCAGCAGTGTAAGCTATGAAGGAAAGGAAATCTTGCTGACTTCTGATCGGCAAACACAACAGGGAACGGACTCACAATTAACTGAGCTTGGCTCTCTAACCTCAGGTCAATCTCTTGGGGGTAGGATGCAAGTGGCAGGGACAACTAGCAAATTAAGTCCAAGCAAATTTCATTTGCAAAACATGCCAGTAATGGTCAACAGTATACGGCTTACAAGAAAATTGAATTATCTGCAAAGCACCACAAAAGGCTAACATTTTGACCTTATTTTATACACTATAGGCAGCCACAGTGAGGGGCTACTTTGCTCAAATACTAACGCATCTTGGAAACACTGTTTGAAGCAGTATAACACTCCAAAATGTGATTTATTTTTTTCCAGACGCACTTCTCCTTATTATCTTACTAAAGTTAATACACTTACTCAAGAGACCAGACAGGAGACTACAGATTGCCAAGCCACACAGAAGAACAACTTCACTACAAGAGTTTATGACAACTTTGTATATACATCTGAAGGAAGAGGTAAGCTTACAGACTAGAAGATTAAACATACATCTATCCTCTAAATCGCAACATTACTGCTTTGCTTCCTCCTTCAGAAAAAAAGGACATTATTGTAAACACTTATCAACAGCTCATGTCTTAAAAAAGGACTACTTAAGATGTAAATAGGACAAACGTGGCCTGAGCTGCTTGCCGTTTTTGCATCACAAGTTTTGCAACACAGACACAACTTACTTTTGTCTTTCAGTCATCTCTTAATAACTAAGACAGAAGTCTTACAATAATTTTCAATAAGTATCCTGATGAAGGCCTGCACGTCCATTTGAGTTGCTGTCACAGATACTGCTTCCTAAAAGCTTCTCCCCTGCCTTCAGTTTGAATCCTTTTTATGGGCCATCATTCATGCACAACTGCTTAACAGGGCTTTAGCCCTAACTCCAGATTCACACAATTTTGTACACAGTAACAGTGTTTAGATCTAGACTGGAATGAGAGGGGCACAAGGCATAAGCTGCATCATATTTTGAGACCTAAAATCACATCTGCCCAGTCATAAATCTGAGACTACCACTATAAACAAAGTTTCACAAAACAAGTTACAGTAAACTGCCTAGTTCATACACCTGCCAAGTGCTGGAGGACAAATACAACACGGTGAAGAGCCTACAAACCCACCTCAGTAGTGAGGAGAGCTAAACCCAAATTCTTAGCCTCACAAAATAAAAACGGAATAAATCTCTTTTTAGGGAAAACAAAGCTATGTCATTTATTTAACATAATTTTCCACTGTTAAATTCTAGGAAATATCTATGGGATTCAACATGCCAAATTGTTTCAGGCAAAAGCAGAACAGTCATGTAGTTCACCTGTCACACACTGAACTGTGGGTGACAGCAGCAGCTTTGGGAGGTTTGTTGTCTTCTCTAAACCAAATTCCCCCCGAAATAATCTAGTAATTATTTCCACCTCTGTTTAACTGTCCACAGGAAAGCAATAAACTGTTAAAGAGGAGGAGAACCCAAAAGACACTCAATCTCATACCTGCTTCCCTTCAGGAACAAGGTTCAGCGTACCATACACTGCAACACTGCTCTCCGTAGAGAGAATTAGCCCGTTGTAACACTGACACTACAGAGAGGAAGAAACAAAGGCATAGTTAAGGTAGTATTTTATTTTCAGTTTTCCTATGACTTCTATTGGAGTCACAGACAAGATAAACTCACAGTCACTTCTAAACTGTTCTCACATTGACAAAAAACCTCTAGTGGTGGAAGATACACTTTAACAATAATACAACTTAGTCGTAGGCTTAGGAGAACTTTCAATTGTCTACATAAAACAGATGAGGTACAAACACTTATTTAATGACAGAACAGAGTTAAATCATTACAGCTTACCAGTTCATCTGAAAGGACACACTGAAGAAAACCTGTGCCATCTCTCAAAACAATGAACATCAAATTTTTTCCTAGTTAAAAAAACAAGGAAAAAAAAGCCAGAGCACATCAGCTTTATTCACCGATCCATTTGAACAGACCCACTCTTAAGACATTAATCACTGATGTGCAGATTATTACAGAAGGACTGTGATCACACTCTTCGCTTTAAAAAACAAAGATGTTCCAGGTAAGCACTGAAACATTAGCACAGTTATAGCAGCCTTTCACAGAGCTGTATTTTGTATAACAAGTTAAAATAAGTTTCAACAGACATCAAGAGCAGCATTCTAACCTCAACAGGGTTGGGATCGCACTGCCATGCCCTAAGGGACTAGAAGTCTGTTTGCAGAAATGCTGAATGCACAGGTCCAAGGTACACCCAACTCAGACAAATTCATGTCACCCTGGTCACCCACCTCTCCACAAAAGCATAAAATTACAAAAATAATTTGCTAGAAACTGCTCATGACATCCAGACCCACAACCAATTCATCAAGTACTTCAGTGATAACCTGAACATGTACGCTTGGAGTCACAATCACTCTGCTGTGCACTTCGACGCCCTGACCAAAGCCACCTCGCTAACTAGAATACTAATCATTTTGATAGCAAATATTACTTGCTAAACTTATTCTAAAAGAAGTTATGCTACTTTATATAACTTCAAAATTCCTATTTGCTGGTTTCACTATCAGTAGATGCTAGTTAGCTCCTCAGTTTGCAGGATGAATTAAAAAAACCTCAGAACAAGTCTTCTGAAGAAATTCTGCAGGACTGGCCTCCAAACTGAAAATCCTGTAAGAAAGATTTTAACTAAGAAATGTCTATATGTTCACACATCATGCAGAATTTTCAGTGTTGTAGTGCCCACTGTGACAAAGCAAAGAGAACATCTAGTTGATAGTTTAAAAATTTAGGAACAGGTGCTGTCCGACTCATTTTAAGTGTCCAAATTTTGAAGGCTACTGTATTTGTTCCATTTCTCTGCACAGGCTCAGTAACTTCTAAATGCTTGTGGTTTACCTTGCCTCCGTAATCTGTGAATCCAGCCAAAAATCTTCACTCTCTGGCCCCTGTAAGCCTCCAGAGCATCAATCTTTACCTGTAAAGCAGGAAATAAAAGCAATCAAATAGAGAAATGATTCACCATTTAGATGGCATTTTCCACATAATTACTTAGAATGCAAGTGCATGGGACATCTCCCTCCCCAAAACGGCTCCTCCCAGCAGCACTTGAAGCCAAGTTCCATCCAAGGCATAAGCACAGCTGTCAATACTGAACAGCTGTTTAATAAGGAAAGAGTATTTTAGCCAGGACAGGCAGTAGGGACAGACAGACAGGGACAGCATTTCCAGACTTCATATTGAGTCCTTTCTATTTAGTGGGCTTGCTTTGCCATGTGGAAACTAGGGACTTTAATAGCTTTTAAAGAAGCTCACTTTGCATTTGACTGAAAGGAGAACTGAAAACACGTAACAGCTCATGCCGTAAGACTAGAGTACTCAGGTACTACAGGAAATACAAGGTGCATTAAATCACCAAAAGACTTGGAAAGGATGCCCCTGACACATTTTCTGGCACTCTGGGTTAATTTCTAGAGACATTCAATGGATGAGTTCAGTTAGCAGTCAAAGAAGCAGAGGACCTGGATATGACATAGGTACATGTACACAGGTACCTGAGGTACTGACACTGCTATAGTCTGCACAATTAACCCAGCAGGCACCTTCAAATTGGATCACACCTCAGGCAGGTAAGGACAGCTACAGTGCACTGGTCCAGAAGAGACTGTGATTTCAGCACAGCAGGGCCCAGCTGCCCCTTTCTCAAAGGGCAGCCATGAGAGTGCAGGCTCCAATCAAAACCATCTTCTACACAGGGCCTATCCGAAACCCCATCACAGAGTAGCACATATATCATCTGCTTACTAAGCTAAGGATGGCACCAAATCAGCAAATCCAGCAGGACTCTACAAACAGTCAAATAAAAACTGCGTCCCATGTCCCCATAACTTAAATCACATCTTCTAACCAGCACTGTTTCCTCACCCTCTGCCACTACAATAATCAAAGCAAAACTAATCAACTTTATCAAACAGAAACACGGTCTCTACCAGCAGACAAACACAGAGAAGTCACATATGTGAACCACGAAGGTTCAGGTTCCCATCAAGTGCATGAGAAAGACCAAAGTCTATATAATAGAACACATAGATAATCAGAAAAGCAAAGTTACCTTTACAGACAGTAACAAGACAGTGGCCTTCAACAGCTGCCAGAGCCACAAAGCAGAGACAAACTCAATCTTTGTGCAGAAGAGACACCATAACACAGGCCATGTATCAAGTGCACTGGATCTTACTCACACATTTTGGCTGTGGAAGACTAGGATCATTCTTGATAACAACCTTCTTAGCTTCCTCCAGGTTCTTCTCTCTTCTCAAGAGATCTTCTGCCTGGTTTTAAAAAAAAATAAAATGTATTAAATAGCTGTAACCAGGCTTTGTAAGATTCCCACACTTCACAATTACCGTAGACTATACTGTACACTTACAGAGACATCATAAAAAGCGTTGATGTTACTCTGCTGGGGCCTAAACCTGCCCTAATTCAAGACCAGGATAAGAAACAATGCACAGATGCATTTCTCATTTTTTTCTGGAAAGTATAAGGCAATAGATTGCAATTATTCAAAACTCACCCAGCTTCAGCCATTTGCTTGTCCTAATTTAAACACAGGCAAGTTATAAATAACGTATGTGTGCAATGGTGACATAGATGAACAAACTGAAGCTTTTTTGGAGGGGTGGGAATGACAACAACGCTGTTTAATATTTTTGGAAAAGAAAGAGGAATGTGTCTTCCAACCTGGCATCACCTGCAACCTACCTCCTTCTTTTCCTTAGCTTCATTCTTCATTTGTTCCCTGTACCACAGTTTTTTGACATTTTTCATCTGTGACTTTGAAATAATGGCCCATCTCTAAATCAATCCAAGGAGAGAGCAAAAGATAAAAGATTACATTTGTGTCCCTTCACACAAAGCGGCTCTAAAATAATTTCTACTAGGGAGCTCTAATGCTACAGCACCTCATTTTCTTTTTGTGAATCCACATAAATAGTAGGAAACGGTTCCTTTCCTGCTGTCATCAAAGCCTAAGAAGGGGGAGAAAATAACAGAATCAACAGCACTGCAAGTGAGCTAAAATTATCCTTAAAGAGACCGAGCAGAGTTCCTACTTCTGAACCTTCTGGTTAGAGTTGCAAAAATAAAATTTACATTTATAAGTACAAGGCCAACCACTTGACCTAATGCACAGTTCATGCTCTTCAACACAAACAGCTGGTCTTTTCCAGTTACCTTTAGAACAGTCTTGAATGGTTTCTTTTGTGTCCCATCACCAGTGGAATCACTGCCCTCCCGTTCAGAAACGTACAGCTCTTCTGCAATACATGACAAATACAGGCAATTACAAAACAAATTAAAAATTATCAGCTATGGAAGTGGTCAGGAAGAAACTGGACACACACAAGGATATCAAATCTTCACAGTTATCAGCAGCGATAAACCTTCAAAAACACGCAGTTGGTCAGGCAGAATAAGAGTTATTTAATGTTCTCCATTCTAAAAATCAATCCATGCCGTCAGTGCATTATGCTAAAGCCTTAAGGACTCCCAGGATACCGAGCTCTTGAGGTCACCGGCTGTACAGCAGGAACGGGAAAGGAACGACTCGCTAAAAGCACCGAAAACGCGTTTGCGGGCGCCGGGACAGACGCCAAGGCCCGAGCAGAAGGCCCCTGCGCCCCAAGCCCCCCAAGCGCT